CAATCACTCCAGATCTAAATTCCATGACAGTCTAATTTATAACAAGCAGAAAGGTACCTTGTTCTCGGGTACTTGCAATACTGTTACAATTCAAAAGTATCATCAGTTTTGCCAAGAGAGAACCTGACTGGCAGCTCTCCTTGTTCCGAATCAAAGCAAGAGCTGTGCAACAGGTGAACCTGAGGGCACAACTCATTTTTCAGCTGTACTGCTGGAAGCTGCCTTAGACAGGCTGGCACTTTTTTCCACTCCTGTATATTGAAGACATGTGCAGTATACATGCATTTCCTCTTGTATATTTGCCAGTACTCCATTTAACTTCTAAATTTGTCTGAATTTTTTCTGAAATTCCTCTGAATTAAACTGAAGCTAAAAGAACTCTCAGGATTTCATGAAGTCCACTCCAAATCTGGGTGCTGTCACTGCCTGCCTCAAACTCAAGCCATGTAATTACTACAGTTTTAGTTTCACAAGAAGACTGAAGAGAAAAATATTAGGTTATAAAGGTAATTTCTACATTATAGAATTGCAATAAATTATGTTCCTCCTCAGTGAGCCATAAAAAAGAAGTCTCTCATGGTTTTTTATTCATGCAGTACCTCCTGGCTCATTAAGATCTCTTGATGGTGATCCCTTACCTACGTGCCATGTATATTTTTTCAGACTTGATGACAATAACTGAAAATGCTCAGTGTTTGTGAGAAGTTCCTGTTAAAATTGCTGGGCATTAATGAATTTATAAGATCAAGCTCCTTCTGTCCAAGTCTGAATGTGCATGTTTTTTAATGAAAAGGGAAAGGTTAGTTTAAAAGATGTGTGCTCAGCAATTATAAGAGGAGAAGTGTATTTAGTGTCAACACAATGCAGGTTGGGATTTCACACATTGCTGCACTGATATGATACTAATGATTGCAGTTACTGGTTAAAGGAGCAAAGGCTTATGAAGTGTTAGCTGTGTAACTAAAAGAAAGGTCTAACACCAAATGCATTTTGACCATTCAGCCAGACTAATACCAGGGGGAGAGAATGTCAGAACTTGGAGAAGCTGTCTGGTGTATGCTAATTCAAGAATGTAGAGTTGTTCAAAGCAAACTCCTGTGTTGTGTCATTCAGGGCTGTTTACAATATTTGTAAACCACGGGACTGTATTTATAAACATCAAGTTGTTTGTAGCCTTCTTGTTAAAACACATTTTGCTTCTTTAACTTATGTTTGCTAAGATACTTTTTAGTCTTGAGCTACCTTAGTGCTGCACAGCAAGAACCTTCTAACATTTACCTGTACTTGTACAGACTAGTGCCAGTTGGTCTGCTGAGGTAGAATCATCACCTCTTTTGTTTTCCACTGGCAATACACTTTGTATCTATGCATCCAGACATCCCCACTTCAGCAGGAAAATACTACCAAGAAAGCAGACATTGACTGCTTCATTCCAGTTTCCACATGACATTTCTTATCACAAAATACCTTTCACATCAATACTGTCTGAGATCAGGCCTGTCTGGCTGCTTTTTTTGACAGATTTTCACAGCTCTGGAACGTCTGTTAATAATAATGATTGAGCTATATGGCATTTCTTGGGAATTAATGATTGGCTAGAAGGACCCATTGAATCAGTGCTCAGCAAAGGACTACTTTCTCTAGCAGGTAGTCAATCCGAGGGAAATATTCAAAGGTCATCAACATTGTTATTATTTAAAAAAAGAAAATTAAATATAGAATTTGGAACATAATAATTGCAATTGCTCTGTATATTCTAACTGTTGTATATTCTTCAGATTTGTCACCAACTCAACATTCAGGTTAACTCATTAACTTTCTCTCCTAATTTCACTCCTTTTCAAACTCTCTTATTTACGTAAAAACACCCCTGCAAGAATCAGTTCTAAGACAATGTACAATTCCACACAGAATTCAATATATAGACTATGAGTCTATATGCATTTATATAACTCCCATGTGACATGAGTACATAGTGCTACAGAATTTACCAGAAAGACATGCCTGTGTTCTGTCTTAAAGCTAAACAACATTGATTCATATTGCCTTGGTGAAAACAAGTCAAAGAAATTAGAGGAAAAAGATAATAAGAATTTTGTGTAAGATTGGTGCCTAAAAGAATTTCACTTGATTAAATGGATGTGCACTTGAGTAAAGACAACTCTGCAGGTTTAGTTGAAACATTCATCCTCTCAGTTGTTTCAGAGGCAAAATACATTCCTTATGGGATAAATCTGTAGAAAAGTAGGCAATTATTACTTACCTTAAAGCAATGTCAAAGAGAGAGGTCTTGAAATCCTTGAAGTCTTGAAAGTGATGATGGTGGTGCTAAACTGGGAAATCTTTCATGTTTCTCAACTTGTTAAACGCAACTAAAATAAATGAGATGTTTATTGACTGACTTAATGGAGAAAAACTTTATAACATCACACAATAACCCAAGATACGTCTCAGTACCGTGTGTAATACACATTTCTCTCAACTAGTTTTCTTGTTCCCATTATTATAATAATGGGTTTATATTTTGATCATGCAGGTGTTCTTATAAGTACATGCTATGAAGCCATTAAACCACAAAACTGCAGGTCTGGTAAAAAGGCTTTGTGCCCCAGTCTAGAACAACTCCAGTTCATTATTAGAATTCTAAAACATGATACAGCTGAAAATAACTTCACTGCTAATACAACTAACAGGCTCAGAGAGCTCAACAACTAAAGTAACTTATAATTAATTAGGGATAGCATGATTTTGGGTTCCACAGGTCTGATTCAAAGTCTCTTGGTGCCATAAGAAATATTTTTTCCAAGGAGCTTTAATCATCCTCCTGTTTCTCCCAAGCACGTCACTTAGGGTCGAATTCTGATCTCATGGCCCTGAATCCCTCAGATGTTAGGTTCTAGCCTAAGTCCTTTGGGCTTCTTTTTCATATGGGAATTCTTAAGGAAAGCCCCAGGAACTTAGCGAAACAAGAAACTTGTACCATATTTAGTCAGGATTAATCACCCATAAAATAAATCTGGTTTTGATGTTATTATTTCCACACATGTATAGTACTAATCATGCAAAATATTTAAGCAGCTTTTTAGCCATCAAATCAACAGGGTTACTTGCATAATCTTAAGCCCCTGACAGGACTGGACCTGAAACGCCTCTAGATGCAATAATAAGTATGGAAAAGATTCATTTTGTGCAGTATTTTCAGCACTAACTGCATCACAAAGTGTTAAATAATAAATAATAGCAGAGAGAAGTATACACGAGGGAGGAATGATATGATTTCAGAGGAGACTTGAAAGGGGATGTTGATGAGGTGGAGGTTTTAAGAATTAAATATTAAAAACCAAAAAGGCTGGTTTTGGCTGGGACTGATTGTTTTTCTCTGCTAAGAAATAAAGGGGCTTTCTAACCTACCTCCTGGACAAAGATGCGAGGCTTACTGTCAAACTGTTCAGTGGAATCATCACTGTACTTAGAGTCTATTTTTAAGAGAAGGCAAAGGATTGCAATTAGCTAACTACAGCCCTCTCCGATTCCAAACGTCTGCTTTGCCCTCTGCCTCACCTTTCTGTTTATTTACCGCCTAACAACTCCACACGGACTTGGCCGAAGTTCCTGAAGAGCGGCAGCCACACAGTGGGAAGGGAGGGAAGGCTGGCACTGCAGAGCCCCGGCACACCGGCCCCTTGCCCAGGGACCACAGCAGCCCGCAAGGCCGCAGCAAGGCAGCCACAGACATGCCCCGGGGAGAAGGGAAGCTGCTTCCAGCACCAGCCCACACTGTTAAATCACGCCATAATGGGCTTATTTCCTACATTTGGTGGCAGCATAGTATTCAGGATAATATTATTGCTACTTGCACAGGTTACTGCCAAACCAAAAGGCAGAGATGACAGAGTTAAATAACAGGCATGGAGAGTGAATCACTAAAAAGTCTTTCCCAGAGTCAGTTCTCTGTTTGGGGGAAGTTATTTCGATTCTGTGTCTCGCAAACAACCCGCAGCTCCGCTGTGTCCTCTGGAGCCAGCTAACTGACATTATAGCGAGATTTTTAAATAAATGATGTGCAGGGGCAGCTCATGTTTAGCAGGCAAAGCCCCGCTCGGCCGCACGCAGTGCGAGCACCGCCGTACCTGTGCCGGGCGCGCCGGGGCGAGGGCAGCGCCCGCTCCCGCCCGGGCATAGCGGAGGTGCGGCCCCATGGACGCCGCTCCGCCCGCAGCACCTGCCCTCGCCTCGCAGGTGAGTGGAGCTCCGGGGACCGCTCGGAGAGGAGTTACCGGCGGAAGGACCGCTCTACTCACCGGGAGAGGGACGCGCCGCTCTCCGCCCGCGGAGCTGCCCCGGGCTGACCCGAGGCGCCCACCCCACCCTGCCCGGGCTGCCCTGACCCCCTCAGCGCGGGGCGGGCGGGGGGACGGGACGAGGAGGCGCTCCCGAGCTTTGGGAGACGCACCTGTGGGGAGCGGGAAGGGTCTTATGTAAGGGATGACGGGGAGCGGGGCCGAGGCGGAGGTCGGCTCTGCGGCGGGGGGGAAAGCCCCACAGCGGGGCTGGGAGGGAGGGAGAGAGGGAGGGAAAGAAGGAGGGAGGAAGGGAGGTCTGAGAGAGAGGGGCTCGGCTCGCCGGGCTGCACCGCGCTCTCCCGCAGGGCTCATCTGCCTTCTCTTCCCGCCGGCTGGATGCCGCGGCGAGCCCGTCCAGCCCCCCGCGCCCTGCCCTGGCAGCCCGGCCCCGGGCGGGGCTCGGCGGCTCTCTGAGGGAGTTGTGCGAGGGACCGCGCCGGGCTGCGCGGAGGAGCGGGCGGTGGGTGCACCAGGCAGAGCGGGGAGGCTCCTCGCTCGCCCTCTCTCCATCTCCCCGCCCCTGCAGCGCCCTCGCCTCAGCCCTCCCGCTGGTGGCCCCTCCACGCCCCTCTCTCCAGCCCGGCGCGGTGCCCCGCACGCCGCCGCCACCTCCACCCCTCGGTCCTCCTCCTCCTCCTCCTCCTCCTTCTCCTCCTCCTCCTCCCGCGCTCCCTCTCACGCGCGCTCCGCTCCACAAGTGCCGCGCTCGCTCCCCGGGAGCGCAGCGGGGACGGGCTGCGGACCCTGCGCGGGGGCGGCGGACCCTGCCCGGCCCGTCCGGGGCTGTCCGTGGTGCTGGAGGCGAGCGCGGGCTGAGCGGCCGCCCGGCCCCTGACGAAGCCCCTTTATGTTCAGCTCCTGGCGCAGCGCAGCATCCAGCAGCTCGAGCGGCGGCGGCGGCAGCAGCATCGCTGAGCCGGGGCTGGGAGGCAGAATGGAAGGCTTTATTCGGCTGCTCTTCGGCTACTTGGTGGCGGACCTTCTCACGCTGGTGTGTCGGGCTCAGGAGAAAGCTGGCCAGCAGCTGGGGAGCTTTGTGGTGCTCTCGGGAGGAAATCACTCCAGCCTCGGGGAACAGCTGGACCCCTCCGAGCCACCTCCCACCCCAGACTTCTGCAGGGGCTACTTTGACGTGATGGGGCAGTGGGACCCCCCCTTTAACTGCAGCTCGGGGGAGTTCATCTTCTGCTGTGGCACTTGTGGCTTCAGGTTTTGCTGCAAGTTCAAGAAGACAAGGCTGGATCAAAGCACCTGCACAAACTATGAGACACCGTTGTGGATGAACACTGGGAAGCCTCCTTCCCGCATAGACGACCCTCTGCATGACCCTACCAGGGATAAAACCAACCTCATTGTCTACATCATCTGTGGGGTTGTAGCAGTCATGGTGCTGGTGGGGATCTTCACCAAACTAGGGCTGGAGAAGGCACACAGACCCCAGCGGGAGCACATGTCCAGGTAAGGCTGAGTCCCAGGCAGCAGGGTCCCCTTCCCCCCTACCTCCTGCCCAACCCCTAGAGAGGAGAGAGGAGCCCGTGTGTTCCTGGGAGACAAACAGCTCCTGCCAGGCAGCTGCATTCCCCTGCAAGGCGACCGACAGAGACCAACTTTGCTGAGCAGAGCTCCTGTGGTTCCCCCAGCCCAGGTTATCAAAGTACATGCATTTGAGGAAGAGTAGGAATAACTGTGGAGTCTGCACAGACAGCAGTACATTTTTATCTGCAGTGCCTGACCCTCTCCCCAACAAGATCCAGCAAGTGTTCCCGGATATACTGTGCGTGAACAGAAATCCAAAAAAATTCTGAAACCAGCAACACTGAATTATAGAAAGGCTGATGGGTTCCCTCTTCCAACTGTTTCAAAGCTTGGAAAATGTTTTTACTTCTCAACAGAAGGATGTAAACAAATGCCATCTCACCCTCCCTCTCCAGCTGCAAAATGTTTTTTGGCAGGACCTTCCCTACTCCCCCAGCCCTTGCAAGTGTGTGAGCTATTTGTAAAATTTCTAAGCTGTGAAAATGAGTCAGGGTGGAAGGGAAGAGGAAGACACAAAAAGGAAAAGCTATTGTAGAATTTCTTACCATTTTTTCAGTTACTGTTGAGAGGTAAAAAATGGAATATGAAAGTCTTGTCTCATCCATGTGTGTGTATGTTATAACTCTGTATCCACTGTGTAATGGCTGGATTATATCAAAGAGAACCTCCCCCACCTAGAGTTAGACATGCTGTGTACCATCTACTCCAGATCCTGGCTGCCTAGTGGTGGATAAGCAGGTGGGCAACTCGGGACAGAGCCCAATGGCTTTAACAACATATTCCAAACCCAGATTGTCACAGCAGTTCAAAATCAAAGCATAACACATTTGTCAAGTTTGCAGCCTGTCTGATTCTTTATGCTAATCCCAGGCACATGAAAGTAAAGCAGATGGGAGAAAGGCATTAAAAAAGGCAAACAGCTCCATTAAAGAGTCTAAATAGATTCCAGCATATTGGGCAACTTTAGTGATGAAATGCAATGAAAGGATACCTTCTACTGGACGTGCAGGGTGGCAGAAAGCTTCCTCTTGCCCTGACTGCTGTTGGTGTAGCTCACAATCTTTAAATCTTAGATGAAGACTCATCTTTGAAAGACAGTCCAAGAGATCAACTCAACACCTGGAGCCTTATTTTTTACTGAAGTTTCTGCGTGACTTTTTGATTAACTGCTTATCTTGAAATGAACAGAGAAAGTCACAGAAATACTCCTGCAAATGCACCACCAGTTCATGAGCTATTATTTGCTATTTATAAACTGGCTGATATGGATACGCTTTTACTACTGAGGGAAAAAGCACACTGCAGAAATTTTAGTCAACTTAACGTCATGTGCCAGTGATACTTCTGCAAAGGTGTTTTTTGTTGAGCAAGGTACGATAATCCTTTAGACATTTAGAATGTCCTCAACGACTAAATTGAGAAAAATTTATTTTTTAAATACTACTCTTAAACTACAGAGCTCTTTTGGGAAAAGCTCTCCCTTGCTTCTGCCTCTCTCTGTAATGTCTTCGTGCAGACAAAAAAGCAGGGCTTGTAACAGCCACAAAAAACCAGGACAGAGTGAAGTTGTAGCCATCCCTGCTTGTTATGGCTTAAATAGGTCCTGTTTTGATGAGTAGAAATATTTGCTATCTGAAGTACAGGTGTGAAGTATTCTGAAAGGATATTCTCTCTTAGTTTCTGGAAATAAAATTATGGGGGACTGGAAAACCATTTCCAATCATTCTGATGCCCTTCAGTCACGTATACTGAAGATCAGGTTTCTGAAGTGGTTCTCAGAAGAGCTCCTCTGTTACCCCAAATACTTAACGGTGTCTGCGATCTCTTACTTTTCTTGCCATGAAAATGTTCAAGTCAGGATTATATAGAAACTTGGAAAGTCATGATCACATGGAAAAACAGTCACCCACTCAGCACACATAATAGCTAGTCGTGTTCTGAAAAAGCAGTGCTATAGGTTTTTTTTTTTTAAAAAAAAACACAACTTCTCACACTCCTATTACAGCTGTGTGGTGGCTTTACTGTTAATTTGAAAAAGAATTAAATTCTTAAATCCCTTTGGCAGTCTACAGATATATTCACTGAGTGAAGAGTTCAAGTAACCTCCTAGTCCTCAAATGTGTGTTTAACTAAAACATTTCATTCTAGCTCATTTTACACTAATAATGTCCTGAAAAAAAAGGCTGCAATGCTTAAAAAATAATTTACCTGTTCAAATAATTAATAGTACCAACAATTAATATAATATGCACCCTATATTCATATTCACCTTCTTTGATAACATTCATCACTGCAATATCAAAAAAAAGCAAATCATAAAACAACACTTATGGGTTTTTTCTGTACTGAACCTCATTAACAAGCAGAAGTATAATGCATCAAGAGTGTTAGGTAGGCCAAAGTAAAAGTACTAAGTGTTACTCCATTTTGGCTGGCAGCAAGAGAAACACAGATGCTGATTTGTCATCTGTTTCCTTAGCTAAGATTGTCTCCTTTCCCTTCCCTAGCCAATGGCTGCACAAAACACTTGAATCCCCTTCATATCTGTGAACAAGTTCACCTTTCAAAGGGATGGTTCTACTCCTAAAAAAAGGACAATGCATAATGGAAATAGACTTTTTTTTTTAGGAGGGGGCTGATTTTTAAGAAAAATGAACTGCAGAATACAACTGGTGTAAGTTATATATTTCCATTTTTGATTTACTGAAAGTATTTAAAAATGTGAAGAGAGAGCTGACATGTGGGAATAAGAACATTGACTTATAAATAGGAAGCAAAACTGTGCCACACTTATTAATTCCTTGCATTATTTCACCCTCCAGTCAGTAGATCTGCTGTTGAAGTAAGACACTGGTGTGTGTAAGAGTGTTACAGTGTCAGTAAAGGAAACCTCACAGTCCTGCTGAACATAGTTTCTATATACCTGCCTTGCACTAAAATTTTTTTTAGTACTATACCAAAACAAACCAAGAATACTCCATTAATGCCACCGAGTTTTCCTGAGGTATTTGACAATGGAAAAAGCATTGGAGGAATGTATTTATTTAGTGAAAACAACCCATAGGGAAAAAAAGAAATCGCTATTGGACAAGTCTATTTAGGAAAAAAAGAGTCAAGATTTGTCCTTTTTTAAAGAGAGCTTTGTTACTTCCTTTTGTTTTGAGAAAGAAGGCCAGGTGTGGCACTGTTGACATTTCCTTCTCCTCAGATCAGTGCTTTTCAGTCATACCCCCTGACTGCTGGCATGGAACTGTAAATCTGGAGGAGCAAAAGGGAGAGGGGGTTTTTGCAGCCTTAACTCTGCACTTTGTATTTCCTTTAAGGCATTGTACCATGATGTTTTTTTTATATCAGTCTCCTCATTTTCAAATTTGTTACTTGACATTAAAAGGAGAAAAATATTCCCTTCAGCTACAGTGGCCAGCTAAGCAGTAACAGTGGTATCCAAACAGAGGAACTGTTCCTTTACCCTCCTGTTTTTCTAGGAGAATAAGGAAATCAGATGGTGTGCACAGGCAGATCTGGCCAAGGGAATGAGTGTGGCAGTGTTGTGCATGACAGGACACAGGACTGATCTGCCAGCTGAAGCAGCCCTGGAAGCTCTGTTAGGCATGCGAGGGCAGCATCTTCTTGCAGCTTAAGAAAATGTCTGTGGGCCTTCCAGGCTCCATCAGTTCAAGTGGAGAATCCTCTCTCAAAAATGAATAGAAGACAAAAACCCCTTTACTTCTTTTCATGGAGGAGATTTTTCTGTAAATAAAACCACACCTTTGTCTTTTTCCCTAATCCTTGTGGAGAATGTGCAAACAAACCAAGAACTGGAAGGACAATATTTACAATCATGCTCTATGCTACAGCTCCTGTTTTTTGAAGCAGTGCCTCTGCCAGTGTGGCAGCAGCCTTCCAAAATCTTGTGAACCATCTCAGCTCTTCTTTCTTCCTTCAAAATGTGCTGACCTCATGAGTGGTCTTTTGTTGATCATTCAAAAGGTGTGTACCTGGGGCCAAAAATAGCCTGACTTGCCAAAATCCTGAATCCTACGTGTGAAATTATTTCCCTTATGGATTTTGACCCAGTTTTGGAGGCAAAATATGACAAGTGACCTTCCATGAAATCACCTCTTTCAGCTTCTTCAAGCTTGTACCCATAAGGGAAATGCCTGTCTCCACATGCTTTATAACACCCCAAACCATTATCATGTATCCAAAAAGGGAAATCTTTTGGTAAAGGAAATGCTGAAGTTTTGTGATACTTGGATAGTTCACGAACTCCTATGCAGGCAACATTTCTCCACTTCTGTAATATTGCAATCAATATCAACACACAGGACCTAATGATATTGCTCCCTGATTTAGAAGATTATCTTGCATTTTGCATTTCCTTAAAAAAAAAAAAAAATTCAGTATAGCAGAGGTGTAAAGACCTTCTATGTACATATAACTTTTCAATGGGACCCACTCCAACAATTTCTTCAGATAATGATCAAAATCTAAATGACTATATTTAGGTGAGACAAATGCATCAAGGTATTATAACACTCTGTTGGCCTCTGTGGAATTTTTCAGATCAAACATCTATTCAAGGATTTTGTCATGTACTGGAGCACAAGCCTCCCTTTATGCATTTCATTATATGGGCAGTCCCTAAAAGAACAAAATGCAGGTACAGCATTTCCTTTGTGCTTCAGTGATACAAGCTGCTCCACATTTTGAACTCTCCCTGAGATCAGTGGAGAATAAGGACAAGCTCTTAATTATATGAGCTATTCTGCCCTGAGAAGGCTGTACAACTTTGGCTAACACAGTATAAACATGGGCGCTGTGTTGTTAAAAATAGAACTTGGTGGTGAGTAGTTCCTCTTTTCTTAATATAGAAGAAGGGGTTGGACAACTAATTCCTTAAAAAACCCATTTGAAAAAAGCCTCCCTAAAACGGTAGAAAAGGCAGCATTTTTGTAGACAGGCAGTAGTTAATCTGCCATCATACGGGGTGTTATTTAAAGTCTACAGAGAACAATATTTACCATTTGATCAAGGGGCAACGAGAAAAGCATTTCTGAAAACCCACTCCCCCAGAGTTGGGAAGTACTAAGATCTCAGAGTTTTAACTCTTATACTGGAGTTTGGAACTTTTATTTACTTTTCTTCCCTTCCCAGAAATGTGTCCAGCTGCCTCTGCAATTAGAAGTAATATTGAAGCCAGTAATTTCCTCTGTATAGAGACATATTTGCATAAATTGATGAGATATTTAATGGTTTTGGTCTCTACTTATTTTAAACTGTATTGCAATATAATGCTTTCTTTCTGCATCGTTTTATACATGTCTTTGTGAGATTTCTTCTGTTGAATTTTTATTATTCTGCTATGTAGGCCAGCTCTGCTATTTCTGCTGGATAAGCACTGCTTCAAATGGGAGCATTACTCTGAGACCATTAATCATTTGGTTACTGTCTTCTGACCTTTTACAGTATCAACAGAGTATTCTGTAACGTGTTGATCACAACTGTAACTAATATTTTAATAACATAATGCTAGTCATAAACACAATGAAACATCAGTATTGCTCAGCTGTGTACCAAAGCTATTCCTGCCATCAGAAAGCAAGATCCAGCTCAGGATTCCTTTCTGTAAATTAAGCGAAGCTACTTTTTAATATTTAAAAGTGCAGCGCTACTTGATCAAGAAATCATCATGTCACAGAAGTACAGTGGAGGAGCTAGATGGCATTTACCATGGCTTTCAACACTGAATGCGCTTATTTTTATTTATTTCTTAGTTTATAAGCTAATATTTTTTGATACAGTATCTGGGACACTGTATATAATTTTGCAGAAAATTAAACTAAACTGGGCGTAGTGCCCAGAAAATACATCCATGCCCTTAAAAAAATTGCTCAAGAGGTCTAAAAATTAAAGCTAGTAAAACAAAAGGGAGGTAAACAATGGTCCATGATTCATTGACCTGAATAGAAAAGGCTTGCATTAAACCCTGAAGACACTGGTAACACACACTACAGCTCTCCTTTGCCTTAGGAAGCAGCTCCTGCAGCTGGGATAATTATTTCCTAGGCCCAGCAGTTCAGCAGGTGGCTCTGGGGCACACGGCTCAGGGCTAGTGCTGCTCCTGCAGAAGGCAGTGGCAAAACAGCACACAACCCCAGACTGTCACATCTTGCCACGCTGAGGGTTCCAGAGCTTAGAACTGGTTAACTCTGGATCTGCAGGGCTCATCCAGTGCTTATCTCTGTGCTGAAGAATGGACTTACACTCGGCAGGACACTCAGCAGTGAGAATGGTCCTTAGAAAATACCCCCGAGTGGGATGAGCCTGTCAGACACTGCCTGGAGCTCTGCAGACCGAGTCCACAACCAGCATCAGGGCCTGGCTTAAGTTAAGAATCCTTCTGCTTGCTCTCTCTTTGCTGGCATAAAGCCCTCATCCAGTTTCTGAACCGGCTTCAAAGGAGCAAGGAGTGTTCCTGTGCAAGCTTTGCTCCATCTGAATGACTAGGATACTCATAGAAGCTAGAAAAGATGTTTTTAATCTCCTCTTCTGGATGAGGAAAGCTTAAATCCCTGCCTACTGGATTTCTACAGGAAAATCACATGACTTTTCGACTTCAGTGACAATTTTGGACGAAAATTGTGAAGACCACTGCCTTGTGTGGTGCTCTGGGCAAATGTATGTGTAAGAATTTACTCTGACAGGCCCTGTTAGGAATCTAGTATGAAGATAACTAGTTTGTGAAAGGAACAGACATGGGCTAGGTGCTGAGGGGCTCAGCAATGTTACTGAGCACATGCAATGGCAGAACCCTACAAGTCTCAACAAGCCTAAATTATGTTCCTCCAAAGCAAAGACAGCTTAAGAACTTACTGTGTTTCCGTGTTTCACTTCTAGCACGCTGTCTAAGACAACCTAAAAAGAGCCTTAGGTGTGAAGTCTCACAATGAATCTGCTTCCCTGAATTTGTTGTGAGGGGAGCTGTTTTCTCTAGCAGACATTATGATCGACTGCATCTCAAACTGAAAAAGAGCTTGGAACATATTGGTGATGTCTTACAGATTTTGCAGGTTCATTCTGCTTTTGTTTGGTTTTCAGGGCTCTTGCTGATGTTATGCGACCTCAAGGTCCTTGTACAACAGATCATATGGAAAGAGATCTAAACATTGTAGTACATGTGCAGCACTATGAAAACATGGAGACAAGACCTCCTCCAAATAACCTACGTAAGTTGAATTATAACTTTGTCCATATCTGGAATGCTGGCACTAAAATGAGCATTGTGAAACAAATATTGGTGTGTGTCAAATGAGGATCCAGAGCACTTTGGTTCTTGCAAACTAGAAATATTCTTTATCTCAGAATGAGAAATATTTAGAATTTCCTAGTGCAAATAGTACAACAGGGAGAGAAAGAAATTTTGAATAGGAAAATTAGTTATTATATTTGTTTTTAGCTAGTCATCTTGTTTGACTGACATTGGTTTTGTATCTTTGTCTCCTTCTACCTGGTGTTTTTGCTCAGCTCACCAACCTTTGCCTTATCCTGTGTTTTGCTTTACTGAAATACAGACTGTTAAGGTTACAGCCAGATTTAACATGTTTCATAGGGCGTAATATCCAATAAGGAAATGGGCTCATTAGGCTGTTACATCATAACCTCTAGGAAATTAATTAAATACTTTCCTGGATATTGTCAGGTTGTATGTGGTTTTCACTTTCTTAAGGGAAAGATGAAAAGAAGATAAATATTTAAATTTTTAAATAATATTTTAATTCTGTGTCTGCTGTTACGTGTTTACATTATTGAAGGCAAGAAAAAAGATGCACCTTGGAGCTTCAGAGGAAATATGGTGATATTTCAAGTGGTTCTGAGGTTCTAGGCAACTTATTTCTCAGTCTGTATTAGACCACATTCTCATGCTCTGATAAATATTAATCTTGTGATGAACAATGCCACCACAGTTTCAATTTGGATATCTATTTATGTATCTTATATTCAACCATATCTTAAATATATATACATATATATAACCTTACAAATTACAGATATATTTACAAATTCAAGTTCAATATATTTATAAAGTAAAAAGGTATCATTCAGGAAGGTTTAGATTGTTGGGCAGTGGATGGCTTTGTTCTGTGCTGTTGATCGGTGTAGATGTGCATTTTGCTGCAAATTTACTTTTACTGCCTTGGTACTGGATTTTGAAACATTTAAAGCATTTCCACTCATCTTTTCCTTAACTATAGAAAGCAGAAAATTTGCTGATATTTGGAGTTTTATTTGGACTGCATTGTGCGACGATGTGAGATTTTAGTGGGTTCTTTTTTGTGGAAGGGTGTAAAAACAATGAGAGAAAGCGCAGATCCATAAGCTGGATGCACTCCTGGTGCCTGTTTGGTGGGAGAGGCTGAGGGGGATTCCTTGTGTGAGCTGTTACCGAGTAACAGAAGAGATTTAAAGGTGTGGCTCTGCTAAAGGTACCCCAGGGAGTGGGGTGTGACACCTCACCTGCCTGCCCTGCAGCTTCCACCCCTGACCTACAGAAACACAAACTTCCCTGGCAGTCAGAGCTGCTCAGGCCCCTGGAGCTGAGCTGGTTGACTTTGGAAGGTTTAAGGAGAATGGGAATATGCCCTGTGTCTCTCTTTGCTCTGTCTATAAGCTCTTTGCTCTGTCTGATCTTTCCTGTGACCATGTTTTCAAGAATGGTACCACATGGTAATGGAGTTTGGGTCCAGTCTTTCTTTTTTTCTCACGTGTGAAATGTTTATTCAGCGTCCCAGTTAATGAAGGAGCCAGAAAGGAAAGAGGTCCTCACTGCATTGATTGTATCTAGATTTTTGTACTGATCACACAGATATTTTTCTTAAAACTCATTGCATACTACAATATACGACATAACACAGCAGGCCTTTAAACTCAGTGTTTCTTGAATTTGAATTCCGATTTAAGTCTGGCTTCTATGAACTCTTGCATAAAATGCAACTCAGAGCCACACAGTTACTGCATCAAGGAAGAGAAAAAAAAGCTACATTTAAGAGGATGTTGGTTTGTGATGAGCCCATCACCCATACCAGCTCTGTCTCAGACTATGGCCCTCTGGCAATTCTGTGTGAAACAGCTCTTGCACCACTGCAATTTATACCATATAAGCACTATTGCTGCTTTGGAGCTGTTAATCCACTGGGCAGTGGAGAGGGGCAGTCCCAAAACTGCTTCCCAGGCATCTCAAGCACTCCTGCTGCAGAAGGAACCCTCAGCAGCCAGCAAGCTATGATGGGAACTGTTTCACTCTTTAATCAACTTTATGCATAAAGTCAATGATTTTAGATTGTTCAGTGCAAACCTTCAAGCGGGGAAATTGCTCCAGGCATTCTATAACCAATATTGCATACACTTACTTCAGAGCAAGTGGATCATTGTTCTGTATTTGTTGCCATTTTATTCTCATAAACTCATGTAAAACACGCCTAAATGACCTACTAGAATTAGCCAGAACATCACAGATGATTGAAGTCTGTTGAAAGCATGTGCATTTATGGTGCAGAAAAAAGCCTTTATAAAGACAAATGATTAAGACAAATTTTCCAAGCCAGTATTTTAGCAAATTGGTATTTTATAGTGGAGTTCTGAAACGCTGCAAGATTGGATATTGCTGGCAGAAACTTTGGCAGTGAAGCATTACTTACTACTAGTGCTGGAAAAGTAACAGGCTTTTTGGGGGATTTTTACAAGCAAATAAACCAGAGTGAATTACAGCTTTCATAGAAATTCTATTCCAGGTCTTCTCTTATATAGAGAAAATAAAATAGTATAAAATTATTGTATCATAAACTTTAACATGTATTTTTAAAGTTGTCTAAGTTATCACTTTCTATCTACTTTCCATCTCAAAAGGAGACTTAAATATTTGAGGCTGATGTACTTTTCATGGTGGTCCATAGATATGAAGAGGGCAGGAGGAATTTCTTAGGCATTAGGGACCCCTTCCATATTGTGTCTTTCAGAAGACTGAAGACAAACCACTGAAGGCCTAACATTATTAAAAATGTTCTGGTTTGAATGTTCATTTGCTCTTTCTGTCCTCTTGAAAATATTTTGCTGATGTTGCCAACCTATTCTGAAAGTGTTTTATGAAGGGAAGCTCTTTTGTCAAAATGACAAACTAAACATGATCTCTGACACTGAAAATGAATGTGTTTCTGTTTCTGGACTGTTTGTTACCAGAGGACAAAGATTTTCTGTGCTGCCTGCTGTTAGCTCAGCTATTTGCCAAAACTCCCAGGCCAGTGGAATCCAAAAGATCTTTTTTCAGCACCTTGAAGTTTACTCAGTTCCTTGTCCCTTCTCTTCTGATACTCAGAAAAGAACAGACATATTGGAGGTTGTGGGAAAACACAAATTTCTTTTTCTTTGCCCATGTTAATCCAGACAACCCAGATGATTTTTAGTACAAACAATTTTTTTCTTAGTGGTTGTCAGTTGTCATAATTTTCTTCCAATACTGTGCTTTCCTTAGGATTAGTTTTCTGCTATTTCCCTTCATTCACTCACATTAGAGTGGAGTGGTGCTTTGTAAACAAGCACTCAAGTCTTCTAAGAGGAGATGGTAAATAAAACAAAATGAAAACAAAGGGGGGCATTTAAAAGTTATGTTAAAAACATAAAAGCAAACCCAAATCTTTCTGTTGAATTTGAGTTGTGTTCATCTCTGACTTTCATGAATCTTAATAAAGCAGCAGCATTTGAGATATTGTCTTTTTTTTTTTTTTTTTCCTCTTTTTTTCTACTTATTGTGTTAGATGTAAGGGATTTATTTAAGTTGCTGGGATTACAACACTGCTGTAGTGGGAGTTAGAAGGCTTTGTAGCTTCATCCTCATTTCTGAAATGTGATTACTGCTATTATTTCTGATTCATGATCTATGATAGCAGAGAGAAAAAATACTGAAGGTAGTGCAATCCACAGGCACTTTTCCTAATGAGCAGTAAAAGCTCTGTTACTCTTTCCCAATAACTAGCCTGGCACTAGTGAATTTAAACAATTTATGCAGGTTCCCAAGATAAAGGTGACTTTAAAGGGAAGGCAATTATACATTGAGGAGGTTTTAAGATGAAAAATGCTAGCTTTACTTAGTTTAACATGTATGAATTATTTCATTATTTTGAATTTAACTTAAAAAAAAAAAAAGGGATTTTAACTCACCATTCAAAGAAGTAAGTGTTGCCAAATGGTCAATTTTAATATTAGCCAAAGATATGCAGCCCATGTGATTAAAATGACTATTTTTTCAAATAAATGCAGCAATGTGTTTGCTGCTGCATTTGATTGTCAGTTGTCCTGGATACGGACTCACAACAAATGCTAATGCTGAAAACAAAGCCAAGACATTTCTGTAACTGGTGCCTTATGATAAATTAACTTTTGTTTTTTCTTTATTTCTGTGTTGAGACAGTTGGCATTTACATAGGAGGGTATGCTTTGAAGTCCTTGTATATTAGAATAAGCATTTTGTATTGCACCTTCCTGGGCTTTCCCCTGTTTCTGTAAGTAGAAGCTCAGCCTGTGTTGTCCAGTGAGAGGAACTGTCACTAATTTCATGCTGTGAATTTGCAAGAATTCAATTCTTGAATTTGCAAGAATTTTTGGTGGTCTCTTTCGCTCCCTAGTGAATATGCTTTTTTTTTTTTTTTATGGTTGTCTTTGGCAAACTGATTACTTTTATGTTTAACAGACCAAAACATGTTGACATGAGATGATTCATTGTATTGCGTTGCCTCAATGTCCTTCCTACTGTTGCTCACTAGAAAGTAGGGGCTTATTGAGAAACTTCAGTAAAGAGAAGTGCTATTGTTCCAAATGCAAAGCTCTTGAAGTGGATCAAACATGATAACTAATTTGCTTACACAGTAACTGTAGAAGAATTAGTGGTTGAAAATGTGCAGACTCAAAGCGCTTCTGGTGATGGGGGCCTTGAAATTTCACCCAAACACTTCAGACACAGGGCTGCAAAATCCACAGGGCTGAGCAAATGTTTGGCCTTGTTGCAATCTAGGTTGTTTGGCTACAGTAAAAATGCCTTTTTTTGGGCTATATGCACAGAGGAATTGCACTCTTTTCTTCATAAACTTTAGTTGGCTCTTTGTCCACTCACTCAGCAGGACAAAGGAGAAGCAGAGGAGTGGAGCTGAACAGACAGGGCCACAGCCGTGTTTTATGA